GCAGGTAGCCGAGGAGCAGGTTGGCCGCGAGGCCGACGAGGGCGACGGCCGCGGCCGGCTTGACGATCCTCTGTGCCGAAAGGTACTGCTGCAGCTGCGAGAAGAGCACCCGCGCCGGGATGCAGGCCAGCAGCACGAGCGAAAAGTAGGAGGCGTCGGGGATCAGCGCGGCGTCCGCGCGAGTGAGGCGGAGCACGGGGCCCGTCGCCGCCCAGAGGCCCATCACGAAGCACGAAATCACGCCGAGCACCGCAACGCTCACCTGCAGCCACTCGCCGGCGAGCTGCCACGGCGCGGTCCCCGCCTTTGCCGCGCCGACGGCGTTGCCGACAAATATGCCGAGGACGCGGCCCTGAATCAGTACACCCGAGGCCATGGTCCACAGGTCAGAGAGCGATGCCGCCGCAAGCGCGTGCGTGCCCACGTGCCCGAGGAGCGCCGTGTCTGTCACCTTCATGCCGACCCACCCGAGCTGGCCGATGAACAGGGCAGGCGCCAGCGCGAGGATCCCGGCCGCCGTCTCTCGCCACGACGCCACGCGAGGCGGCGGCGACGGGTCGAGGAAGGGATCATGCTGGTTGTCCATAAGGCACGGATGGCTGCGGTTCGGGGTGGGGTTGGGTTGGGCTGTCTGCTAGCCTATCGGTGCCAGCCTATCGGTGCCGCGTAAAAAAAATGTATTATCCTAACGGTGTGGGGGCGCGGAGGGCTTGTTGGCGAGCCAAAATGGTGTTTTCCGAGGCGCTGCGCTAGGCTCAGAGCGAGTTCGCGCTGCGCTAGGCTCAGACGGCGAGTTCGCGCTGCGCTAGGCTCACAGATGCGAGTGCGCTGCGATAGAAGAAAAAACAGGGTCGAAACGACAACCGAAGGGAGGACTGTGTAGTGTAATCATGTGTCAAGAATCACGTGCTGCTGCTGCTGCTGCTACTGCTGCTGGCCTGCTGCTGCGCGGCGAGCGCCGTCGCCGAGGCGGGCCTCGGCGGAGAGCGCGATTATGCGGCCTTTTCCGCGACCCGCACAAAGAAGAGGCGCCCTCCGTCAGCCTCGACCTGCCACCGGCTCGCGTCGACCGACCCGGCCGCGTGCCACACCTCCACAGCCCAGTGCGCCAGC